GGCTTTATCTTTTTACTCAGCTTGCTTTTCTTCAAGCAGTTCATTCTTTCAACAGTGTTTAATTATCTACCTATGGCCAGCACTGAGCTGGGCCTTGGGAATACAAAGATAACTAAGATATTATTTTTTTATGTAGAGGAAGGGTCCCATAAAGGGTGGGACAAGAACTGGACCAGAATATTAGGATCGGTGGGATTCTGCCAGTTGGATAAGAGGGTGGGACATTTCAGGAAGAAAGAACCACCTTGGAGAAGGCACCGATGTCTGAAAACCCGTGGTGGGTGTGTTTAGGGAACAGACAGAGTTGAGTGTCAAAGCTTTGGAGGGTTCATGGCAGTGAGGCAGATGGGGGCACTGGATGGGGCTGGAAATAAGGGTAGAGACCCCCCACCCTGCTTTCAGTCTTGTTAAGGAGTTCTGGCTCCAACCTGCAGGAGTGGGGAGGCAACAAGAGGTTTCAAACCATTATGTAGTTTCTGTTGTGGAGGGAAAAGGTAAAAAGAAGAGAGCACAGGTGGGGAAACCACAACAGTGTGGTCAAACTTCATTGACAATAAAAGACCAATTCAGTATGAATCTTAAATTTGTATCTAAAACAAGCCCTCAATTATGTAAGAAAGAACTGACAGAACTTAATTAGAAATAGTCAGATTCACCATTGTAGATGGAGATTTTAATTTTAATTTAAATTAATTTTAATTTAATTATTCTGTAATTTACAGAATATGCAAACAAAATATCAATAAGGATATATAAATTTTGAGCCACATGATTCACAAACTTGACCTAATTGATATATAGAGAACAATAGTTCTAACAATGTGTTCTACATTCCCTTTTCCAAGAATTTATTTTTAAGTAATCTCCATACCTAATGTGGGACTTGAGCTCACAATGCTGAGATCAAGAGTCTCATGCTCCACTGACAGAGCCAGCCCGGTGCCCCTACATTCTTTTCAAGTGCACATGAAAAATTCACCAAAATTGACCATATGCTGGGTCATAACCCATATCTCAACGAATTTCAAAGGATTGAAAACATACAGAGTATGTTCTATGACCATAACGGAATTAAGAAATCAGTAACAAGGGGCACCCTGGGTAGCTCAGTGGGTTAAGTGTCTGACTCATGATTTCAGCTCAGGTCATGATCTCAGGGTTGTGGGATGGAGCCCTGAGTGGGGCTCCTCACTCAGTTGGGAGGCTGCTTGAGCTTCTCTCCCTCTCTCTCTGCCCCCACCCTCACACACACACACACACACACACACACACTCACTCTCTCTCTCTTAAATAAGTAAACAAATCTGTAAAAAAATAAAAAAAGAAATCAGTAACAAAAAGAAAGAAAATCTCCCACGACTTGGAAATTAAGGAACACGTTTTCCATGGACCAAGGAGAACTAAATTGCAATTAGAAAATATTTTGGGAGCATCTGGGTGGCTTAGTCATTTAAGTGTCCAACTCTTGATTTCGGCTCTAGTCATGTTCTCATGATTGTAAGATCATGTTCCCAGGATTGTAAGATCAAGCCCTGCATTGGGCTCTGTGCTGGGCATGGAGCCTGTTTAACATTCTTTCTCTCTCTCTCTCTCTAATAAATAAACAAATAATAAGCAAATAAATATTTTGAACTGATTGATAATGACAATACAATATATCGGCAGAACTTGTGGAAAGTTCAAACAGTTGTTGCAAGGAAATTTATTGTGTGTGTGTATATACAAACACATATATATTATAAAGAATATATTATATATTATAAAATGCATATATTAGAAAAGAATTAGAAAAATAATAAGGTAAAAAATCTGAGCACCTGTCTCAAGAAGCTAGAAAAATGTATTACAAATTAAATCCAAAGAAATTATTAGAAATAGTAAAGAAGGCAATAGAGATCAAATAAAATCTTAAAGTAAAAAAGGGAAAGGTGTTATAAAAAACAATCACCCAAGTCAAAAGTTGTTTCTTTAAAAAGATTAATAAAATTAGTAATTCCTGCAGCGACTGGGTGACTCAGTGGATTAAGCATCTGCCTTAGGTCATGATCCCAGGGTCCTGGGATCCAGTCTGGCATCAGGCTCCTTGCTCAGCAGGGAGTCTTCTTCTTCCTCTCCTTCTGCCCCCTCCACTGCTTATGCTCTCTCTCACACGTGCACACACCCTCTCTTTCTCTCTCTCAAATAAATAAATTAAATCTTTAAAAAAATTAGTAACTCCTACCAAGACAGGTAAAAACAGAAGTTACCTATAACAAGCATGACAAGGGGGACATTCTACAGATCTGTAAAATTATATAATTATAATTATATCCATATATTAAATATAATTATTATAAACATATATAAAGTCATAATAATTATGACACTGTGGTCAAGGACACAAAGGCTTGACCCGAAGCCTAGGCAGTAGAGATGAGAACAAGGTGATGGGTTTAAGATCTTGAGGGGGGGGACGCCTGGGTGGCTCAGTTGGTTAAGCGGCTGCCTTCGGCTCAGGTCATGATCCCAGAGTCCTGGGATCGAGTCCCACATCAGGCTCCTTGCTCAGCAGGGAGCCTGCTTCTCGCTCTGCCTCTGCCTGCCACTCTGTCTGCCTGTGCTCACTCTCACGCTCTCTCTCTCTCTCTCTGACAAAAAAATAAATAAAATCTTTAAAAAAAAAAAAGATCTTGAGGGGGTAGAATAAGCAGAACTGGTTGAACTGGGTGTGGGAGACAAATAGATACAGAATTTTGTGTAGGGTTCTCATCTTAGGTGACTGTGTGGCCAGGGGTGTTACTGGTGAGTCTGGGCACCTCAGATGGAGAAATAAGCTTGAGGAAATGGGATGAAAACCAACTTTTTCTCTGTTTAATTTTGTTGCCTTTTTTTTTTTTTTTTAAAGGTACTTACTTTCTAGGATGTGGAAACTATTTGTTCGAGCTGGGAAGTCTAAATATTGTGCCAAAAAGAACTGAAGTTCAAATTCCAATTCAGCTACTCAAAATTGTATGTCTTTATGGTAGTTAATTGCCATGTCCCCATCTTACTCTCCTCATCTGTAAAATGGGAGATAACAGTACTTATTTTAAAGGGATGTTGCAAGAATGAAATAAAATAATATGTGTCAAGTATTTGGCATATAGTAGGTGCTCAATAAATGGTAGTGTTCCTTTCTTTCCTCTCACTCTTTCCTGCAATCATTGGGGTCCTTGGGACCATGGGTCTATTCTGATATGTGTTTAAGCAGCTGGGAGCAGGTGGTTAAAGAGGAAGAGCTCTCATTTTGTTTTCCTTGGGGAAATTTTATTGTAACTTAGGGATTTTTTGGAACATGGGTTCATGCAACAACTAGGCTTTCTAATGGCTTGCAGGGCATAGTTGCTTGAGGAAAATAAAGGTGTGTCAATATTGATATGGTATTAATGTGGTATTGATATGGTATGATTCTCAAACTTTAGCAGGCATCAGAATCATAGATGGTTAAACACAGTCTTTTGTTAAATGGGCAAAAGGCTTGAGCAGATATTTCTTCATAAGATATATGAATGGCCAACAAGCACACGAAAAGATGCTCAACACCACTAATCATTAGGGAAATGCAAATCAAAGACGCAGTGAGATACCACTTCACACCCATTAGAATGATTACTACATACATATGTATCTCTCAAAACAGACAAACAAAACCCAGAAAATAACAATTGTTAAGAGCACATAGGGAAGTTAGACTTGTGCACTGTTTGTGGAATGTAAAATGATCAGCTATTGTGGAAAACATTATGGCGGGTCCCCCAAAAAATTAAACACGGAACTACCACATGATCCAGTAATCCTACTTCTGGGCAATTACCCTAAAGACCTGAAGACAGTTATCTCTAACAGATAAATGTACCCATACGTTCATTCATAGCAGTATTATTCACATATTTACAATAACCGAAAGGTGGAACCAACCCAAATGGCCACAAAGGGATCAATAGATAAAGAAAACATGTATTACGGTATTATTCAGGCTTAAAAAAGGAAGTACTGATACCTGTTACAACATAAATGAACCTTGAGGGCGTTATGCTAAGTGGAAAAATCAGCCACATATGATTCCACTCCCAAATATTTAGCAGTGCAATTCATAGAAAGTAGAATGGCGGTTGTCAAGGACTGGGGGAGGGGAGAAATGGGGAGTTATTGTTTAATGGATATAGAGTTTCGGTTTTGCAAGTCAGAAAAGGTCTAGAGATGGGTGGTGGTCGCTGCACAACAATGTACATGCATTTAATGCCATTAAACTTAAAGATGGTCAAGATGGTAAGTCTTATATTATCTGTATTTTATCACACTTTCACCTGTCTCCCCACGCACAGCTGGGCGCCAACCCTCAGAGCTTCTGATTCGTTGGATCTGGAGTGGGACCTATTGGTGCGCGTTTCCTACAGGATCCCAGGTGATGGGGATGTTGCTGGGGCGGAGACCACACTAAGGGGTCAATGCTGTAGGAGACCAGGTGAGTGGAATAGGGAAGGGTGCTGGGTTCACTCCCGCGTGGATCTGGTTGTCATCAACGATTGCCAGGTGGCAATCATTGAACGCTTCTTCTCCTCTAGGTTGGCTCGCAGCCCAGTCAAGGGGCTGCAGATGGGCAGCGCTAGAATATAAACTCAATCCTTAACTTCCTTTGGTCCTTGGTGTGGGTGTGGGTGTGAGACCGAGAGGGAACGACAGACCCCACGACCCCAGCAGGGCGGCCAAGCACGCAGCTGCGGGGAGGATTCTGGAAGCCTCTCCCGGCTGGGGGCCCGGGACTTGGTGGGAGGTGCTGCAGTCCCGGCCCCCGGCTCCCCCTACCTCCCCGCCCCCGCCCCAGCCTCCGCATCCGCCGGCGGGTCTATGACTCTTGCGGTCCGCCCCCGCCGTCCGCGGGGTGGGCTGGCGGCCGGCAGAGGGCGCCGGCGCGTCGTCCCAGCGCCAGCCTCCCGGCCGCCCACCCCCCGGGCGCGCCTCTCTGCAGTCCAGCACCGCCCGGCCCGGGACCGCTTGCTCCGAGCGCGCAGACTTCTCCGCCGGACTGAGGACGCCGCCCGCCCCGGGCCGCCCCTACGCTCGCCTTCCGCGCCCGCTCGGCCTACCGCCCCCGGGCCGGCTCCGCTTCCAGCCAGCGTCGGAGCGCAGAGCTCCCGCCCCCGGGAGCCTCCCGGCCGTCGGCGGACCCCGCGGCCCCGGCGCCCGCGCGCTCGGCGCCCTGCTCGCGGGGCACAGCGGAGGGCGGCGGCCGGCTGGGGATGGGCGGCCCGGCGGCGCGGAGGGGCGCCGGGGGGCTCCGCGCGCTGCTCCTGGCGCTGGTGGCCGCGGGGACGCCCGCGGGCGCCTACAACCTCGACCCGCAGCGCCCCGTGCTCTTCCAGGGGCCCGCCGGTTCCTTCTTCGGCTACGCGGTGCTGGAGCACTTCCACGACAACACGCGCTGGTGAGTGCCCCCCGCGACCCCGGCCCGGCCGCCGCCCCCGCCTCGGTCCCCAGCCGGCCGCCGCTGCCTTTTCCGGCCGCCTCCAAGCCGCCGTCCCGAGGGAGAAATTGCGATGTCTCGGCGGCGCGCAGCTCGGCCGCTGACGACAGGCGGGCAGGGCGCGGGACGCCGGTCTCTCGTCCGGCAGACGTCGCGTTGGGCGCCTGGGGTTGGAGGCGGCGGGGCCGGCGCTTCCCCGCGGTCCCAGCCCGGCGTGCGCGGGGAGAACCCCGAGAGCGGTCCTCTCGGCCTCCCAGCCGGAGGAGACTTGGCTCTCTCGCTCGCTCAGAAACTTGGTCCCTCTGACCCCGGGGGCCTCAGCCGAATGCCCCAGGCCCGCAGTGACCGGGCACGCAGACTCCTCAGTGTCCGGGAGCTCTTAGTGACACCCCACCCTCCGTTCCGCGGCGCCGAGGAAGTGCAGTGACCCCGGGACCTGAGGGGGACAGGCTGTGTATGTAGGGGAGGAGTGGGGCTCCCCAGAGGTGAGTTTCAGGCAGCCCGAGGGGGCACACTGCGGTCCAGAAGCCTCCTCCTTCCTTACAATACCTTCTTGAGGAAGTGAGGCGAGAGGGTCCAGGATGCTGGAAGGGAGGATGGTCCAGGACCCTGAGTGACAAGCCTGGTGCGTGACCTCTGGGACAGCCTGGGCCTCATTTCACCTGGGTCCACTGACCTGGAGACAAACACCTGAAGTTTTAACAGAGGGATGTGGTTTTGTAACGTCAAGGAATCCAGTTGCTCCCTGAGCATCCCGAAGTTTGGGAGCTCTCCCCATTAAGTGCCATCAGCTAAGAGGCACAGGCTGTGTCCCCAGCCCCTGAGGAGAAGCTCTGAGATGAGCTTGGTCCCTCTTTGACCCTTTCCCTGGGCAAGTGGAAATCCCACAGCACACAAGGGTCACCTCCTCATCAGAGAGTTAGGCGGTGGACAGTTCCCCTGTTCAAGGTCATGTCCCGGTGGGCGCTGGGTGACAACTAGTCTGGAGTTGGTTTTGTTGTGTGGTCACCAGTGTGGGTGTCCTTAGGGGATGCAGGTTAGGAAGGCGAGGTCCTTAATGTGTGCCATGCATGCCATGCAGCTGTGTGAGACAGTCACTGCTCTGAATGGGACAGAGGCTGACGGAAAGGGTGAGTTTGTAGAACTGAGTTCTCAAGCATTGCTGGAAGGGGGTGCGGTATGGGACAATCTGTGACTGGCCAGCCCATTAGCAATCCTTTGTTGAGGAGAACTGCCTCCAAGAGAACCAGTTTGTAAAGTCCTGTGTAGCCCCTGTCCAGTTCCACATCTCCTTCCCTACCATTTCTCCCAGTTGCCAAGTTTAAGGCCAGACTGTCTTTTTCTGCCTTGCTAAACCCCTTTTTAAAGCAAAGCAGGCTAAACACCTTTTCCATGTCCAGCCTGCTCAGAGTTCACTGTGGGCTTTGGATTTGGTAGACAATGGAGCCGGAATGGTTGGAGAACGCATCTCAGAATCATCCCCGCCCCCCCCCCCGCCCCGGGCTCCTGGACTGTGTGACCTTGGCACAAAGTATGTGGGGCGAGTGGGTCAGGAATAGAAGGGCTTCTCTGGGCGGGGGGCTCTACAGGAAAAGGCAGGCAGTGCAGCTGGGGCACTGTGTGGGATCTGTAGCTGCATGGGCTAGGGCGCCTCTGGGCTCTATGATGTGGCTCAGCTCACGGGAAAAGTACCAGGACCCGATCACCTGGATTTGGACGGGCCACACGTCAAAGCTGTTCTAAGTGGGGAACAACTGGGTGTGGGAGGTGGGAGAGGCAAGAGCGAGTTTGACATAGGAAAAAAGTTGAATCTGCTTTGTTTCAAAAGGGAGATGAGGAAAAGCTGCGTGACTGGAATAGGTTCGGCAATTGTAGGAAACGACAGACTGGCCTTCAGCTTGGCACCCGGGGTATCGAGGGAGGCGGGGTGTGCAACTGGAAGGTAATGCTGGTGTGTGGCCTTGGTGCCAGTGGAGATGTGGGGCAGATATTTCCAGGGCCCAAAGGGACCCATCACAGCCAGGGTGCTGGTTCAGAAGTACCCTCTCCAGTCTTGATATGAGCATTTGAGCATGTTAGTCTTCCCATTCGAGGACTTGTCCCGACAGTTTTCCGGCGGGCTGACCAAACTCGATGGAAATTTTTTTAAAGCAATTTTTTTTCTTTTTTTGCCCCGCAATGTCTTAATTTTCATTATAGTTTTTGCTGTGTCCTTGCTACCTGTGCTCTTGCTGCTTTTTCCAAGTATTTTCCTCCTTATCCTTTTCTCTTCCCTCCCTTCCCCCCAATATTCTTTGTCTTAGACCTTGAATGTTATTCTCAGCTGATACACTGCCCAGACTTGTAAGGTGCGGCTTTTGAAGCAGTAGACGTCCAGCCTCACCTCCTTTCTCTCTTTTCTCTTTCTCAAGATTAGACTTACCACAGGGCTAATGAAACTTCCACCAAAGGCCTCTTACTCACATGGGCCCCTACCAAGACCCTGTGCTGAATTTTATAGTCCTAATTTTGTATTTTCTTAAAGATAGTCACCCTAAATTTACAAGACTTAGGCTCAGTGGAGTCTGGATCTACCCTCTATATCTCTACCCTAATTTTAGCTCAAGGATTGTTTGATTGACTTAGCGACTAATTGTCGGTCTCTTCCTACCAGGCAGTCCCAGGGCCCTGCATCTTTTAGCCCCGCTTGAGGGACACGTAGGTTGTTTCCAATTATTCATGATTATAAACAACAGCAGGGGTAAACATCCTTGTAACTAAAGCCTTGCGGACATCCTTAATTATTTCCTTCGAATAAATTTCTGGGCTTAGAATTGCTGGGTCAGAGAGAAGGGAGGTTTTGAGGTGTTTTGTATGCATTTACAAAGTGCCAGTGAGGTTAACATGTGTACTTTAGAGAAATGCATTAATTCAGGCCCTGAAGTTTTGAGTGATTGGCTAAGGGGCTGATCCAATGCCTGAGAGGAGCTTAGCTGTCTACGTAAGGGGAACTAAAAAGATCACGGATATAGTCAGAATGGGTGTGGAGAGTAAGTGATCGACATGAAAAGGAAAAGTAACACACTGAAACTTTGTAAAGAAAGAAAATGTTAATTAAACCTTGTATCTGGTGTCTTTCTTCTCTGGAAATTACTCTTTAGCTTAATTCAGTATTAGTGGTTTAATAAGTTGGCTTCCTGCTTTTTCCAGGTAAAGGAATTTATTCTAGGCAGGGTAAGGAGCAAGAAGAATGTGCTGATGGGGGCGGGGATAGAGCCCAGGCAGCAGGGTCAGCATGGGCTCTGCAGGTGGCAGAGTGGGTGGGGGGGGGGTCCGTGGCATTAACATGGAACCCAGGTACACATCACAGAGCATGTGTGTGCACCCTGCGGGGAGAGCCAGCATTTCTTCTTGAATCCCATAACCAAGCATATCTGTCAGTGCCTTTTTTCAGCCAAAATTGTCACAGGTCAGAAAGTTCGAGATTTCAGCAAAAGCAGGGGGTGACCTTGCTTTTATAAACCCTGGGGCTTGAACACAGCTCCTGCAGTGCTGCATACTGAGCATTTGGTGCTCAGACCCTATTCCTGGTCCCTCTGTTGTTGCCCTCTAGGCGGTGTGAGTTGTCACTGTGGCCAGGTGGACTGGAATATCCTGGACAGTGTTATAGATGTCATTTGTATCTGTTTGGATGCAAGCATGCACGTGACTTGGTTTCCTCTTTTTCCGACAACACTCAGAGGGTGTCTGCCTGCCAGAGCTGGCTTCCTTGCCTGTACCTCTCCCCGCCACCCCCCGCCCCTGGGTCTTCTTGCACCCTTTGAGCAATGGCAGTAGGTGCCAGGGAACACGGACAAAGCCGATGTCTGTCCCCTTTGCTTACACGCGTACCCGTTCTTCAGCTGCGGGACAGACAACTGTAACACCCTGTGATATAAATAAATGAGGCCGGCTAGCGTCCAGCCCCCAAAGTGGGTTTCTTTCACACCCCTCCCCCCCCTTCCTCTCTGCCCCAGACGCCCTGGAGTCCGAGGTGGTTGGGTGCACTGGCTTCCTCTCTGGCGACGTGCTTCCTGCCCCATCTCCCGGGACACATCCAGACGGCTGTGCTCGGGCGCAGAGCAAGTGCTCGGAAATGGAAGACGCACCGGCTCTCTGCTCTGTTAGGGCTGTCAGAGCATCATTCGGTGAGGGATAGGAGGTCATTCAGAGCCCAGGAGAACATAACATTCTCCGCTTGCATTAAGGCTGAGAATTAAAACGAGCTAGACGGTTCTGCACTGCCAGTGCTGTTGCCATTAGCCAGATGGATTGCTATTTAAATAAAAATTAATTACGACCACATAAAATCACGAATTCAGTTTCTCAGTTATACTAGCCACGTTTTAAGCGCTCAGTCTCCACCTGTGGCTGGTGGCCGTCACACCGGACAGCACGCAGGACACTCATTGCAGAGAGTTCTGGGCAGTGCAGGTTTAGAGCAATGAATTAAGGCTTAAAGGGCTAGACCAAGATCTGATGAGGGTAGAAGGAAAAGGAAAAGCCAACCCTTGGCACGTTTGTGTATCAGAACAAGTGGAGGCGCTTGGAGTGAGCTCAGGATTAATAATGGCTTTTGGTTCACAAGGTACCAGGAATGAGGTCCTGCTGCTCCCTCTGGTCGGGAGGGAATTAATCAATTAATTAATCCATTAGTTAGGATTAATAGTGGACTGCCAGAGAGTCTGACGACTTTGCCTTTTCCCTTGTCAGACAGCGAAGAGCCTTGTCTGCTAAGGTAGAGGGTTCAGGAATGAAGACTCCAGTCACATCCAACACGTGAAGGGATTGTGGGGTCCTAGTCTGGTGTCCCAGGCAAAAACTAAACTGTTGGCTCCGATGGGGGAGAGGCTTGTCCTTGGGCCAGCACAGTTCAGAGGGGCACAGTGGAGAGACCCCCCCCCCCCATGAAGGTAAAACCTGTAGAAGGGGGACCCTGGGAT